TGAACTACTGGCAATGCGGTACCTGCAAGAACACAGACAAGCCTCCTAGGTGTGGTGCTGATGAAAGGCTGGCCACAAGAGTGTATTCTGTGGTTCCTTTACACCGAGTTCAAATTCATGACAGCTATCAGCAAAGTGGTTACCACCAGGTGGCAGAGTACAAATGGGGAAGAAGCTTGAGGAACCTTCCTGGATATTAGAAGGGTCACCAGGAGTACACACAGACCACAGATATCGTGGTGCAGAGGCAAAAAAAAAAAAAAAGAGAGACAGACAGACAAACATCAAGAGATCAAGTCGTTAAGTTGATGGAAAGTCAAAATACAAACCTAAGTCCTCCAGCAACCATACTCTTAGGTAGTTCCTACAGAAATAGAAGCATAGTCACATAAAAACCTGTACTTGTATGTTCAGAGGCTTTATTTGTATGAATCAAAAACTAGACATCACCCAAATGTTCTTCAACAGGTGAATGAATAAACAAGCAGTGGTATATGCACACTATGAACTACTACTCAGCAATAAAAATGAGCTACCAACATGCCCAATAACATGGATGAGTCTCAAGGGCACTATGCTGAATGAAAAAGTGAATCTCAAAAGGTTGTATATTGCACAATTGCATTTATATAACATTCTCAAAGTGGCTAAATTACTGTGATAGGGAACAGATCGGTGCTTGCCAGGGGCTAGGGTTAGAGGATGGAATGATTATTAAAGGACAACAAGAGGAGGATTTTTGTTGTGATCAAACAGTTCTCTGTCCTAACTGTGATGATGATTACGCTAACCAACAGAATGGTAACATTTGGTAGAAACACACACAGAATCCATGTAAAAATTGGTGAAATCCCACATGAGTTAACTGTATTGTGCCATGTCAATTTTCTGCTTTGACAATGTTCTGCAGTTATTATGTACAAATCACCACTGGGGCAAGCTGGATGAAGGGTACACTGGGAACATTTACTATTTTGGCAATTTCTTATGAGTCACATTATTTCAAAATAAAGTTTTAATTAAAGAAAGAGTTAAAAAGTAATTTATAGTCAAAAGTGAAAAGAACCCAAATGTCCATCAATGGATGAATGGATAAATAACATGATGTATCAACACAGTGAAACATTTGGCTACAACATGGATGAATCTTAAACACATTATGGTAAGTGAAAGAAAAACAGACTCAAGACCACATATTGCATGATAACATTTCTAAGAAATATCCGTAACAGGTAAATTCATAAAGACAGAAAAACTAGTGGTTGCTGAGGGCAGGGGAGAATGGGGAGTAACTGCTAAACAAGTATGGGGTTTCCTTTTTGGGGTGAAGAAAATGTTCTGGAATAAGACAGTAATGGTGTATAACTTTGTGAATATACTAAAAACTAGCAAATTATATACTTGAAAAGATGTATGTTATGTGAATGATGTCTCAATAAAAATGTTACCTGTGGGGAAAAAATTACTAAGTAAAAAGGACCCTTAGAAATTTTCATACATGCTCCAAAGCAAAAATCTAACCCAAGCTATGGGACTTAGTTCTTAAAACTCCTGATTGTATAACGCTATAGTCCTTCGCTGCTGCCTTTCACTCACAAAGAAACACAATTAATAATTAGCAAACTAAACTCACTAGAACAGTCTAATGAGATTAAAATCTTGACTCAGCTAAGAAGACAAATCTTAATCATATTCCTGACAACTACAAATTCCAGTTCAGAGGCTTTATTTGTATTAATCAAAAACTAGAAACCACCCAAATGTTCTAGAAATGGTGATGGTAACAATGTCTACCTCACAGGGTTTTAAATGAAAATGTAGCCTGTAGGACCTGGCTCAGATCATAAAAGCTCACAGAACTGTACCGAACTAAAATGAATGAAGAGCCAGCTTGCATATATACAAGTGGTAATGACAAAGGCAGATCATATTACATCAAGCCAAACCTAGGTAGTCACATAATTCAAGTTTGTGGGATGGACATTGTATTAATAGAGTTTAAAATTACACCGATTACTCTTTTCTCCTCTGGAGAATTAATCAAAAAAGCAAAAACACTGGGCATCAAGAGACCTGATTCCTGGCCCAAACTAGACTAACTGTATGACTTAACCCATCAGAGCTGCCTGTAAAATCAGGAATTTTCCAAGATTACCAGTATCCTGAAGTCCCCTCTACCATGCTTCCCTCCAGCACCACTCCTTGCACACTGAGCCAGGTCACCATGGTTTCCACATACTGTAGAAGGTCAGCTTCCAGTTTCTCCCCTGCCCACCACAATGCATTCTCCACACTGGCAGCCAGTACTTTCTAAAACAGGAATCAGATCCTGTCATTCCCATGCGTAAGCCTCCCAATGGCCTATGGGGTAAGACCCTACCCACTCCGATCCTCCCCACCTCACCATCCTCTTCAGTAGCACTCCAGCTGCCCTGACCTTTGGGTTCCTCCAACATTCCTAGCCCATTCCTCCCCAGGGCCTTTGCCAATCTCCCATCTCCTCCCCTTCATTTCGGCCTCTGTTCAAATGTCACCTCTTCAGAGAGCTGAGTGTGGGAACTCTGGTCCTAGGCTGCCTAGATTCAACTTAACAGCTGGACGTGATACTTATGCTGTGTCCCTGTTTCCTGCTCAGTGAAGACAGTAACAATGTCTACCTCACAGGGTTTTAACAAAGGGTAAACGCATGTAACGGGATACGACTGGCAGGGTTCAAATGTCATCTATCTTTATTACTTAATGGAACCCCATCTGAAATTCTCTCCCTACACCTTAGCACTCTCTGAAATTGTCATCTCTGCCATCCCCATTGAGGTTCTCACCACACTCCTATAGAACCTAAGCTTCATGAGGAGCTTTGTCTTGTTCAAAGCTCTTTCACCAGCTCCTAGGAAAGGCATGCAAGTACTTGTCGAATACATGAATAAATAAATCCTATCAAGCATTTCTTTAAAATAATGCCTTGATTCAAAGAATTAAATGAAAAATGACTGTCTCAATCAAACACTTAAGTAATTGGACTGGTCTGTTCTTCCTAATTACCCTGCAGACTGACCAGCTCATTGAGTCATTGGCTGGGGATTTGTCCCTCAAATTTTATCACATAAACACAACAGAGAACAGAAGAAATTGACTGATTACTCTGTGAGAGTAAAGTTGAATATTTTGGATTTACATTAATTCTTTATAAACATACCACATAAATCTGCAGCACAACAAAGGCTCTTGGACATTAAAATATGAAAATATGAAACACACAATGACTTAACTAAAATTTGTTAGTTTTATATATGTATGTTAATTCTATATGTGTATTTTATATATACATGTATATATAGTTGAACTGAACTAAAATGCATGTATGTATGCATGTATATACAAAATACACATATATGTATGCATATATATATGTAAGTATACGCGCACACACAGCCATCCTCCAAACTGGGAGCGTGCTTTTTTCAACTCCTTTTTATGTTTCTTAACATAATGGGCTATGTGAAAATTAGTGCTTCGAAACTGAAAAGTTGTGATTAAAACCCAATACTCAGGACCCTAAACATTACAGTTCTCCTTACTTGTGAGCTAACTTTCATTGTTCACCAAAGGAAATCCCAAATTTAAGGTTCTGGCTGACTTGAAAGCATTAATTTTTTAGAGCATCTATAACTATACATCTACCAAATATCCATTCCATTTTAATGTTGTAAGACTCCAATACCCAACGTTTACCCACGAGTTGCCTCAAGTCTTTAATAAGTACTTTTCTCTCACTCGAAAATTAAGATTGTGTCGCTACCACATTTTGTGAAATCCTGAAAATGCTGTCAAGTTATATTCCGTTTTGAATGAACCAAAGTCCTGTCATGACATTCCATCCCATTAGTAATGGCTTAAATAGGCAGTTTTCATAGATGCCACTAATGAGTGAAATTCGCTAAGCAAAGACCAAAGCAGACAGAAAGGAAGACAGCCTAGGAATGCTGCAGGATAGGCCCCGAAAGGAAACGGACCAACCCAAATGCTTCGTGATTTTATTTAAAGATGATCGTGGACTATCATTCCACACAGTACCTAAATACCACGAAGTGTCTTTTGCTCAAAAGGAAGAGCGAAGCCACAAAGCTAGCGGAAGGAATAAAGATGTTGAACGCTGGGTCATGTTTAGAAATGAAGAAAGAAGGATCAGGAAAGTTGCGGCGGCGCTCTGCGGGACGGGAGCAGCTCCCCAGGAACTGCTCCCGCTCCGGTCCGCGGCCAGTGGCACGCACGTTTCAGTATCGCCCCCGTAGTCCCCACGTCGCCAGCACCAGCAGCGCCCGGGGAGCGGAGCCAGGGACGCCCGCGCACACGCCCACCGCGGCCGCGCGCCGAGGGACGCTCCGCCCGGGCAGAAAGTTTCGAATAAAAACCCGAGCACCGAAACGCACAGGTCTCGGCGCTGAACTCGCGCCAGGAACACGCCCGGGGCAAACTGCTGGACAACCAGCTCGGGTTTTTAGCAGAGGCCGCGGGGCGGACCGGGAAGAAGAAGAGACGACACTCATACTCACTCACACACAGTCCCGCACACTCGGCTCCTCGTCCTCTCCGCCCGGTGCCCAGGTGCGAGCGACACAGCAGCCTCACGCCCGCACTTGGCGCGGGGAAGCCCGGGAGTCGGCGGTCAGCGCCCCTCCCCGGAAGGGCCCGCGACCCCCCGGCCAGCTGAGCGCGCAGGAGGGGTGTGCACGCCGGCGCCTCCCCGCCCGCCCCCGACGGCCTCGGCGACGGGCCCACGGGACTCGGGGTGCCCGGCGGGCCGGCCGCAGGCTCGCCCGCGCCCCTCCCCCCGGGCCGCCCGCGGGGCGCGCGGGAGGAGAGCGCCGGCGTCCCCGGGGAGCAGCCCGCCCACCCGCCCGCCGGTCCCGGGAATACGAGCAACTTTCCCCTGCGCGGTCGCGGGCTGCCCCCGGCCGGGAGGGGGCGGGAGCCCGGGGGCCAGCGCAGCGTGGACTCACTTTTTCGGATGTTTCTCTCTTTTCGGCCTCCGCTTTCGGGCCTGAATGGCCAGCACTGGGGAAGGAGAAGACACATTAACGGTCGGGCCGGCCTTCCCCGGGGCCGCGTGGCGGGGAGGGACTGCCGCCGCGGGCCACTCACCTTTTCGGGAGCTCATCCCGACGCGGCGGAAGCGGGGCGGGGGGCTTCGCGGCGGCGACGCGGGAGCCGAGCCGAGCCGAGCCGGGCTGCAGCCTCCACTCGCTCCGCCAGCCGGGAGGAGGCGGGAACCGCGCCTGCGCCGCCGCCGCAGCCGCCGCTCTCCCGGGGGACCCGGCGAGATCCGCCCCCGGTCGGCCCCGCCCCCGCCCCGCCCCCACCGCCGGAGAGTCGAGACCCCCGCGACCGGCCCTGCAGCGCACCCGCCCTTCTGAGCCACCTGTGCAGAAGTGACCCCCGCGCGACCACCGCCCACGGCCTTCCCGCCCCAGTGCGGCTGGGGCCGCCGCCTCTTGCGCCCCCACTGCTGTCCAGGCCTCCCGCCTCTCCCGGACACCGGGCCCGCGCGACCCTCCCTCCGCAGTCGCAGCCTCTACCCTACGCACCCCTGCCGGTCGCGCCGCCGGCCTCTCCATGCGCCCTTCCTTGGCCCGCGCCGCCGCGGGTCTCACACCACCTCTCTTCGCGCGGCCTCTTCTCCCCCTTTGCTCCTCTACATCCTTGCATCCCCATGCGCGCTGCTTCCTCCTCTCCGGCGGGTGTGGAAAGGGCACAAGTCCAACAGCTGGGAAACCCGGGTCCTTCATTGCTGTGTGACCTTGGAAAAGTCACCTTAATCTCTCACCTTTACCTACCCTACAGAATGGCTTGAGTTTAATAAAGGAAAAGATGCAGACAGCATGGAAAGTAGGATGAAGCTTTTGCACATAAGTTAAAAGCACACGTGTATTTATTATACACAACAATCCCACCAAGTAGTTATTTTCTCCATCGTAACGAGGAACTGGTCCTAAAGAGTCCCACAGTTTACCCAGCAATGAGTCCAATTTAGGCCTAGTTGACTCCAGATCCTTTCCACATATTATGCTTTCTAAGATGTGATACAAGTTGCTGGTGGGACACAATGATTAACTGCTGTGTTCCCTTGATAATTTAAATAATTACAATATTTTTGAAAGACATTCATCTGACCATTACTCTCTTTGGTTAGACAACTGTATTCTTAACTGATCAAAGTAGCTAACCTTATTCTAAAGCTGCTAAAACCAACAGAAAAGAAAGCAGTGTTTAAAGTTGTAGTTTTTCAACATTTTATTTTCAAAAATATCAAACCTACAAAAAAGTTATGAGAAAAATATAACGAACACCATATTAACCCATATTCGCCCATTTTTTAACATTTCACCACGTTTGCTTTCCCTCCGTGTGTGTGCATCCGTGCCCGTGTGTTGGGGGGAAGGAGAGGAGTAATTGTTTTGTTTTTGCTGAATCATCTGAGATTTTTGCAGACATTCTTACCCTTTACCTCTAAATAATTTAGTTTAAATATCTAAGAACAGATATTCTCCTACATAATCAGAATTTCATTATCAATCCAAGAAAAATTTAATGTTAATAAAATACTAATATATGTAGCATATATTCAGATTTTCAAAATGTCCTTGTTAGCTATTTTTCCAATCCAGGATACAATCAAGGATCATGGTTTGCATTTAGTTACCATGTCTTTCAAATCTCCTTTGTCTACAGTACTCCCTGGTTTTGTTTTTTTCTTTTATAACACTGACCTTCTTGAAAAACCCAATTCTGTTTTCTAGACTGTGCCTCCATTTGCCTATGTCCCCTATTAGATTCAAATTAACTAATTTTGTCAGGTACACTCTATCGGATGGTGGTGTGTCTGTCTTGTAGGTCACATCAAGAAGGATTATGAAGTCAGTTTGTTCCACTGTTGTAATTTTTCATGGAAAATAAGTTTTGACAAGGATGTAGAGACATTGGACTCCCCATACACTGCTGGTGGGGATGTAAAATGGTGCAATCACTATGGAAAACAATCCCACAGTTCCTCAGAAAACTAAACAGAATTATCAACAATTACACTCCTAGGTCTATATCCAGAAGAATTAAAAACAGGTACTCAAACAAATCCACGTATACAAATGTTCGAAGCAGCACTAATCACAGTAGCCAAAACGTTAGAAACAACCCAAATAGCCATCAACATGAATAGATAAACAGATTGTGGTACAGACACACAATGAAATATTTTTCAGACATAAAAAGGAATAAAGTACTGACATATGCTACAGTGTGGATGAACTTCAAAAGCATTATGTCAAGTGAAAGAAGTCAGACAGAAAAGATCATATAGTGTATGATTCCATATATACTAAACATCCAAAATGGAGAGAAGTGAGGAGCAACTGCTTCATGGGTGCAGGGTTTTATTTTATAGTGAGGAAAATGTTTTAGAGCTAGATAGAGGTGGTGGTGGCAAACAGTGTAAATGTACTAAAGCCACTGATTCGTGCACTCAAAAATGATTAACTCCTTGTTATGTGTTTCACCTCAATTAAAAAAAAAATCTGTGGGGTAATGCTGTGAGATTGTGTGAGTTTCCTTCCCCAAGAAACTCTCACTCTGGGTTAGCATCTGTTGATGGTGTTTGCCTGAATCAATAATTACAATAGTGGTTGTAGAATAATGATATTATAATCCTAGGTTTCTCACTGTTCCATCTGTGTTAATCAGAGGATATTCTTGTGTAAGAAGGAGCTTTCGTTTCTCTTGCCACTCCTTTGTTTTCTGTTTGTTTTGGGGTTGTTATTTGTTTTTGGTATCAATATTGACAGTAATTACTATCACTTTGATCTCTGATTCTTAATTGTCCCAAATTGACCAGGGAAGACAGTTTCCACTTGCAGGATCCTTTGGACATGTAGCAATCCATTTTTGAGCACCTCTTTACTTTCTGGCAAAGATTTTTCCAGGAATCCTTGTGCTTTTCTCTAACAGAGTCTCAGAACCAGTCATTTCTCCAGTCTTGGTTCCTTGAGAAGGTAATTAGAAGCTTTGAAGCCAAAGAAATATTGAATTTGAAACCAGTTTCTTATACTATTTTTAACAGCCCTGCTAATATATAATTCACATACATACAATTCATTCATTTAAAGTTCAAAATTCAATGGGCTTTCGTATATTCACATTGTTGTGCAAACACCACTAAATGTAATTTTAAGACATTTTTGTCACTCCTAAAAGAAACTCCATAGCATTAGCCCCAAACCTCCCCTTGCCCAAGCTCGAGGTAACCACTAATCTCCTTTCTGTGGCTACACTTGCCTGTTGTGGAGAGATCAGTAAATGCACTCATACCATAAGTGACCTTTTGTGACTGGCTTCTTTCATTCAGCTTAATGTTGAAATAAATTTCTGCTACTTAATTTCTGTATGACCTTGGGAGGGTTACTTTATTACAACATCTGGAAAATGGTAATATTATTAATACCAATCCTTCTCTGTCAATATGATAATCAAATACAAAAAGTTAAGTATCAAAAAGTAATTATCACAAACATTAGTTGGGATACATACCCAATCTGTATGCTGCATCTTATGCACTCATTTGCTCAACAAATATTTATCAAACACCTGTTACTTAGCAGGCATTATTCTAGGCATCAAGTCCACAATAGTGACAAAGCACACAAAAATCTCCCATGGAGCTTACATTCTACTGCCAGAAGACAGAAAATAAAGTAAGTATATGAAATATACATTGTTTACTAGATGGCAATAGCAACAGTGCCTATGAAAAGAAAGAAACAAAAAACAAAAAAACAGCAGCCTGTTGGGCAAGTGCTGAAGAGAGGCCTCACTGAGACGGTAGCAGTGGAAGACCTGAAGGTGATCTTGCCACTCTTTTTACTTCTGTAAGTTAGCAGAGAACCATATTTGCCCACCTAGAATTTTTTTGAATTGCTTTGAATTTGCTGAATTAAAATACACCAACCTAATTATCAAGAAACAACATTACATGTATTAGATGTTTAAAGAAAGAATGATAAATTACAGACCTGTTCTCTGCCAATTTGGAAATACAAATTTTCTTTGAAATGCATCACAATTGAGAATTATATTTTAAAGGTAATGAAAAAAATATAAGAAACAGAAGTGTATGAGTGTATGAGTTTTTTTATCCTACCATTGTTTACTGCTGCATAAATCAAATTAATTATATGAATATTATAATTAAGAAGTATTAGAATTGGATATATTTTGGTCTCTGTAGCAGTCCAAAAGAAGTGAAAAAGGCAGCATATATTAATTTTCCCCCAATGTAGCAGAGCAGAATGGCAAGACAAATTCATCATACATGCTTACAGTTAAACATGCATTCTGTTCTAGTATAATTCATAATCAGTTCTTCCAATTTTTACCAAATATAAGAGAAAACTAAAGAATGTTGCAAATCCAATTGGACCCCCATATTTCCAATGGACCTACAAAATCATGTTATATCTTAGAAGGCATATTTCATACATCATAGAATTGGAAACAGATATAAGAGATCTTATAATCTGTCTTGGGACCTTCAGTAGAAATGAACCTAGCCTCTTTGTAAAGGCTCTCCAGCACTTTTACATTTTCAGAAAAGTTCTTTTATAGTTTATGCTTTCTGTTACAAAGCTTACACATGTCTCATTATTTCACAATAGCATGTTTCTCAGTGGGACTAGCATCACTGTAACAGCAACGTAATACAGAAGTTAGTGTCCGGAGTAGTAGAGCCAGATTGCCAGAGTTCAAATCCTACTTCTGCCATTAGTTAGCTGGGTAACCTTTGTCATGCTACTCGGTTTACCTGTGCCTGAGTTTCCTGATAGGCAAAATGCAGATAGTAATATTACCTACCTTATACCTTTGTTGTAAGGATTAAATGACTTATTTCACATAAAATGCTTAGACAAGGATCTAAATGTTCCATAAATATGAGCTATTCTTATATATATGCACATAGAGACATATATATCTATCTTTTTCCTGCATAAGTTTCTCCCCAAATTAGCAAGTTAAAACAATAAACAATTATTATCTCACGATTTCTGTGGGCCAGGACTTTGGGAGCAGTTTAATTGGCAAGTCAAGATGTCACCTGGGGCTGCAGTCATCTGAAGGCTTAAGGCTGAACGATCTGTTACCAAGATGGGCTCACTCACAGGGCTGTTAGCATGAGGCCTCAGGTCCTTGATGGCTGTTTCAAACAGGCCTCACTTCCTCCACCCTGATTTTTCCATGGGGCTGCCTGAGTGTCTGACTTCCCCCAGAGTGAATAAACCAAGAGAGCACAAGGAAGAACTAGAAATTACAGTGCCTTTTATGACCTACCCTCATGAAGTCACAATCCACATATCCACCACATTCTAGTTATTACAGACAGAGCATGTGCTCAAAGGAGGGGAACTAAACCACTTCTTGAAGGATTGTCAGAGAATGTGTGGACGGGTTTTTAACCACCACAAGGGATCATTCCTTCTTTCCTTTAGTGCCTCTGATTTGCAAGTGAGACGCCTTAGAGACCCCTCACTCAGTGACTGTCTAAACAGTAGAAATGGAAAGGGATTTTCAGTTCAAACACTCAAGCTAAAGATGAGAGAATCTATATAGATTATCTATAGAAAACCATCAATAGAAATAAAGTTGTTATAAGTAAAATGCCT